GTTTTATTATTTTCTTCTTTTTTCTTATTTGTGTCAAATGGATTATCCCTTTTATAAAATAGAAATGGATAAATAAAATAATTAATAAAGAACTTTGCCCATTTTCATAGAGATTTCTGGACCACCCGCGTCTCTAGTTATTCGCGTCAATCATATATAATATTGTAGATAATAATAATAGTAAGAAAATCTAAGAAAAAAAATAATTTTAGATCTTTAAACTTCCGCCGAGTAGTTCTGACATCTTAATAATATCATTTTATTCGTTCGATAGTTCATCATCAGAGCTGCTCAATACGTTTATTATTTATCTTTACACAATGTTTTCACGCTTTCAATTAACTAATGATTTTTCCTAAAAATTTCTTTTTGCATCTCAGGCACTTTCTTAATAGCGGTAACAAACAAATGTTGAAGGAAAAGATTCTATAAAAGAATATTATTGCACATGTAAGAATGATGCTCGTACTGTAGGCTGCTGTGACCATATTATATCAATAATTTGGTATCTAGGATATGCTAAATATCTTTCCAATGTTATACGAATATCTTCTGAGTATAGCAATGATATATTTGTTATGTTAAATATCTCTGATGATAAGCCATTGAATAAATAAAATAACATCATTAGGAGATGAGAACTACTTCCGGCGAAGCTTTGAGGACCTAAAACTATTTTTTCTTAAAAATACTACTATTATTATCTACAAAATTATATATAACTGATGACTGGATGCGGATGGCCCAAAATGGGCGAAGTCCTTTGAAGAGAAATTTTATTCGGATAAAGAAAAGATTTATTCAAATAATTCTCTCTCTCTCTCTCTCTCTCTCTCTCTCTCACTCCTCCTTTTCCCTTCCCTCTCTCTCTCCCTCTCTCACTCCTCCTTTTCCCCTCCCCCTCTCTCTCTCCCTCTCTCACTCCTCCTTTTCCCCTCTCTCTCCCTCTCTCTCTCTCTCTTTCTCTCTCTCTCAGCTTATTATTTAATTTATGTATTTCTTAATTTTAATTAAAATTTCTTAATTTTATTTCTTTGATTTTAATTTATACATTTGATTTATATATTTTGTTAGTTGAGTTTTTTTATATATAATTTTTTTTAAAGATTTAACATCTGCATTATAGTACATCAAGAAAGCAAAATTTACTGCTATCTTGTCTACGACTATAACAAGTAGGAAGCGCAAGTCAGTCTATTCGCAAGTGCACACGAGGCTCTAACGAGGCAAGCGCGCTAAGCGAGTGATTAGTGAAAGGATGCGATGTTTTCCTGGATTAGCGGTAATTCGCGGCCGTTCGAAACAGAAGCAAGTTCAACAATGTCGACAACAAAGCGACAGTAGTCCGTGCACCGTTGTTGTCGAGCGGGGGGACATTGAAATCATCAGAGCATGGAGTCCAGTTCAAAGACATTAGAGCCGCTACATGATGACATTTACGTATTGTATTGTTTAAAACGGCGGTTTGTAATCTTTTTGTGATTGCACACTTTCTCGCTCCTAACACGCATGTTGAAATCAAAATCTCGCCGAGAAACATGTGTGCTAGTAATTTCATATATAAATTTAATATATATTAATTACAATAGCGAATATACTTTTTAACTAAATTAATGTAAGCTTAAATAAGCGGATAATTAAAAAGCAATTAAGATGAATGATGATTAATAACAAAAGATATATAAATACTAATAACTAAGTAAATAATTTCTAATTTATTGAACAAATTATATATTAAAAACAATAATAATTAGAAATTAATTAACATGTTTTCTAGGAAAAAATTCAAAGAATTTTTAAAGTATCAAAACTTCAATTGCAATTCCCAGCGAACTAAAGTTAAAAAGGTGATTTAGTGAACGAATTTGAACGATAAAGTATAAAATTGATTGAAAAATTTTATTTCAGCATACGATAAAGATTAGAGAAGATTTATTAAATTTATTGACCGTTTACCTCGTTGCTTTCCTGGATCGTGCTCTACGATGAAAGCTGGCATAGCGGTGACCATTTGATAGTCGGCTTCGATGACATTCTGCTCGTCGTTTTGTTTCGGTCCGAGCAAGGTTTGCATCGCCGCCACATCGCCACAGCTTCTGCGGGTATACTTGCTCCTGGAGATCCTCAGTGAGACGGTGGTGCTCGGATCTGGACTGCTCTCCCGTGGCATCGAAGTTCCTGATGACTCGTCCAGGACAACAGGCGTTGACATGGATAGAGCAACATCGTCGACGCTGTGACGCCTCGATTTCGACAAACGTTTAAACATTGTCTAGCTGGAAACAGAAATGAAATTATGATGAAACTTACGGACGATTAAGTTATTGGAAAGAGAGAAAAAGAGGCAGGAAGAGGAAAGAGAAAAAAAGAAAAGAAAAAGAGAGAGAGAGAGAAAGAATTAACTTTTCTTGCGATCGGCCGTGAAGGCCGCTTGCTATTATTTATTTTTTCCCCATCAAGGTTCCCGGATTTCAGTCTCTTACGGTGACGTCGTGATTTACACAGGTGAGTTCAGAAAGAAGAAGGCAGGTAAAAACAACTTTCGTGGAATAAAATGCCGTTGCATTCTACCTTCTATCTTTATCTCGCATCTCTCTTCAGGCCTCTTCTTGTATTCTCATCACGTTATCATTCCTAATAAACGTTGTTACCATGATAACTTAATGTACGAAAATTACAGTCATTGTCGATTATGCAGAATGAGAATTTTACACATACACACACGCACACACACAAGAATGGAAAATATATTTTATATAATAAAAATGTTATATTTCAACAAAAAAAATCATGTTTTCAATATCAAATTTGTTCCTTAATTTTTTTTAATATTATAATTTTTAGTTTGTGTGTGTGTGTGTTTTTATTTTAAATTAATCTTTTGTAATCCATTTTTCTTCAATGCTAATGTTGGAAAAAATCATCTTTATTGGAATTTTTCCATTTTTAACATTATAATATTTATAATGAAGCCTCATATTAAGGTTTTTTTAAATAAACTACATTGAAATTATCAAAAAAATGTAGTTTCAATGTTCATTTTTTATACTGTTTGAAATGCGCAAAAGGTTCTCTGTTTGTAAGTGTATTGTCCATATTCCAAAAATAATAAAAAATATTGTAAAATTAGGGATTTATCTTATTGCATCTAAAAGTGATAAAAAACAATTTGATATTGATGCAGAATCTGAGTGAAAAATTTGTAGTGTAACCCCAGCAAGCATAATGATATTAAATGATGTTTTAATGACGTCATCACTTAACATCATCGAGTTACTTAGAAGTATTTTAAACCATTTTGTTATGGAAATACTATATAATGTTTTATCTTTAATAAAGGAAAAGAGATAATTAATAATGATAATTAATAATAAAAATTTTAATTTTTGAATAAATGTAGTTTGAATATCTAAAATAATGTATGCAAAATTTCATTAAAAATAAAAGTTTAAAAAGAAAAGAATAATATAAAATAAAATAATAATATATAAAAATATGTATAGCATATATGCATCACGGATATATTTACACGGAAAATAAAAATAGCGTATTTTTACTTTTCAGCTACTTCTTGCAGGGACTATACGCGCAATATACTCTTAATCGTTTATAATTCGTGAACCGTTGATGCAACGATGTCTTCGCTGAGGAAACACCAACTCCAAATTAGTCGTTGAATACTACATCGTTGAAAAATAATGTGGTAGAAGTAGAACACACACCTTGTACACACCGTTGCTAGACTACACGAGAATAGAGAAAGTCTCGTTGCGTATGCAGGAACTGCATGCTCGCGCATACATTTTTGTAGTCGTCGAATATTGCACGATTTCACATAATGCGTATGGCATGACGTACGTTCGTAATGCTCACGCTGGCGCAGCATCGTCATCGGAGGTGCACAGGCCGTATTATCACCGCGGAAGAAGTAAGATCGACCGACATTCTTGATTTCACCGCTATTGACATCCAGTGCTTTCTATCGAAGCTGTCCCACAATCGGCGGACGTCATCACGACGGATACGCATTAATCTGAGATTGCAACTTCCTCGTGTTGCAACTTCTATGTCAAGTGCACCGCTTTGTCATTTCACTTATTGTTAATTAACCGCCCGATGTTTTTTCTTCTTTTTTTTTACATCATGCTTTCCAGACAACATAATATCTAAAATCGGGACTTAAGACGTCTTAAAGACATTTATACGTAAATCATCTGAAAGATATCTTAAAGATGATCTTTAAGACGTTTTATGTCCCGATTTTAGACATTATGTTGCCTGGGTTGGAATTTTCTTGTAACAATAACATCTTGAGAATTATTAATTAGTATTAATTAAAATTAACTAGTATTAATTAAAATTAATAATATTAATTAACTATCAAAATCATACTAAAAACATTTTCAAATACGTGAATACTAAAATTTTTTTTTTAATAACAGCAGCATTACCTACTCGTAGTTCCGAGTTAATGTTTTGTCATTTAGTTACTTGAAAAATAACATTATATCAGATTAGTGTAAAATATTTGTCATTTCTCTATTAAATTTTCATGGTAAGTTATTACAGGAAGAAAATGCTCGTTAGATGTTTAAAAAAATATTGAGTCAGTATTTTTCGTATATATAAAATATCTGCTTCAATAATTATATATACAATTTCTACTTGGAGACGATCACGTTTGTCGGAAAATATTGAATCAATACAGGTTTGCCTTTCAAAGACTACACCTTCGCAATCCTCCTGTCATGTAGATGCATTAGGAGAGCTCAAGGGTATTTCCGGTGTATGTACGGGCGATTAAATTTTCAATACGATTATACGATGAAGCGGAAAGAAACCTATGCGCGTAGCTGATGACATCGGAAACTAAGAAGTGATGACTCTTCCAAAATGATGTTTCTTTTTAACCTAAATCATATATTCGTAAATAGCCAGCGCCGCCAGTAGGGGTTCAACAACCTAAACCGGAAGAAATATGAAATAACGTTAAAACAACATTAGGCACAGTATAAACTGGAGCTCGCACAAAGGATCCGAACGAATTGTGTGATTGAACTGTCCAAACAGTTAAAGGTAGAAAGGTTCCACCTTTAAGTTCAAGTGGAACCAACGAAATCAACCCATTCAAAAGCTTCAATTGTTCGGACAATTTAAATATTATTGCAAATGAAAATAAATCATTTTTCTTTGCTCCCTCTACATTGCATTATTTAATTTCATAGTCTGTATAGTTAAAACTTTTCAAGTATATCTTCAGACTGAGAAGATATGAACAATTAAAAAAAAACAGTTTTAATAAAGATAAACCATCTTCAAAAAAACTCAAAAAAGATTAATGTTATTATTTAGATTTGTCATGGAAATTGGAAATTGGATAATTCCATTACTTTCTTGAATAAAGATACAATTCGAAACTTTTATTTCTGACTTTAAATAAAGCTTCTTTTTAGCTGACTTAAAAAATAAGATTTTAATAAATAATTAAAACATACAAAATAAAAAATTTTTTGACAAAAATAAATAGTCATCAAAAATTTGAAAAGTCCTAAGAAGTATGAAATATAATTTTGACTCCATATTCTCTTATATACCTGTAATCTAATATTCTTAACGATAATCTAATATTCTACCTATAATCTAATATTCGAATTTTCTAATGATATTAGAAGTCGCCGCGAAAATCTATCTTTTTTTATTATTAATCTCCTTACAGTTATATAATTAAACATCTACCTAATTTGTTTTCTCGCACTGACTTCGTTAGAATATATTAGAATAAGATTATAGATACATGGAAATATTAAGTCAAAATTATTTCATACTTTTTAAGACTTTTGAGACTTTTGAAGACAGTTTATTATTGTTAAAAGTTTTTTATTTCATACTTTTTCATTATTTACTAAAAGTTTGTTTTTAAAGTCGGTTAAAAATAAAAGTTTGGTCTTGCCTTTTCAAGAAAATAATGTCTATTCAAAAAAGTAATAGAATCATCCATGATTTCCAGGTCATCTAGGCAAACCCAGATAATAACACCTAAGAACCATGCAGATAACACATACTGAACAAATTACAATAAGTTTCTTTTAAATATCTCTAACATTTCGAGTTATGAGAAACATAAACAAAATAACTACACAGAACAGACTGAAAATTTCCTTTTTTGGATATCGTTAAAAATCAATCTGGTACTATGAGCGAACTGTCAATCACTTGAAAATTCCAAGAGTCTCTAGTCAAACTGGTTTTCTTAGTCAGCGATATTAACGGCAAATTACGCTCCTTTCGATCCTCGTCAATAACTGAGAAACATCGATCGTCTCTTCTGCAGGATGTGTCCTATCCTTAATATAACGCGAATAGCCAACTATGTGAGAAAATCATAAAAAAGTATTTTAGTTTACCCTATATAATAGACGTCTCGTACTGACATTAACGCGTCCGTTTATTCCAGAAGGAGATAAGCTTTAGCGCGATCATCGCTACGTAGATCTGCTCGAGTGTCAAAGACGCTAGCATCGATAGGAGTTAACTCGGTAAAAGGCCGTTTAATTCAACAGACATTTTGCGACTTGTCCATGTACCACTTTGACTGCGTATGTGCGCATGTGTGCGCCAGAACGTACCATGCACTCTCTCTGATCACCAACCTACCGCTTCATTTACCCCTGTAGATATTGTGTTACGTTGTATACGGACAAACGAGTAACGAGAGGCCAAAGAAAAGGTATAGAATGTTGCACGGCATAAGGGCAACGTTAGCAGAGGGGTTTGTATTCTTTTTTTTTTCTCTTCGGAAAGGCGCGGTCTTCGATGAATATCGACTATCTTAAGGGAATGTCATACTTGAAAACTTTACTGACAAAATATTGACATTTTTCCCTAAAGTCGATTGCATAGAATTACCAATGCTTTTATCTAATGAAAGTATTAGAAAAATTAAGTGGAACATTTCTCAACGTATGGCAAAAACAATAAAAATTTTAAAAGTGACATTTTGAGCTATCAGTTAGTCTAAATATTTGCCTAATACAAAAGTTCTGCAGCTCGGGTATACAAAATGTGTGTTTACTCCGTTCAGAAAAATTTCAAAGAACATTGCCGTATCTTTACAAATAAAGGAAATTGCCCATTTTTGGCTCACAAACGGATTTTAACGAGATATATGTTCTTCGAAGAATATAAGTCTGATTCTCCAAAAAGCCAATCTTTATTCAAATCTGAACAGCGTGACCGAAGTTAAAGGGCACCATATACCAGGTGTAGAAGTATGAAA